GGGGGGGGCAATTTTGGGGTGGGGGGGTGGGAAGTGGTAAATTAGTGATAATCCACAGCAACAGAATTAAACCAGAATTGTACCTATGAGGGGGGAGCAATTCCTGTAGCTGTAGGTTTCAAAATTGTCTGTGGTCTGCTCCAAGTGCACAGTACATCTAAGAGAAAGAACTTGACTGCCACCTCTTTCATCATTAGACAGGAAGAATGGCTCTGTTATTAGCCATTCAGAAAGAAAAAGACTTCTGTGCTTGTCCAGAGGCAAGGATTACTAAAATGTACCTATTCAGTTAGTGGAGAAGACAGAATTAAAAAAAATTAAAAAAAAAATAAAATTACATGAGCTTTAAAGGTTTCGGCAGGCTGGGTGTTACTGCGACCTTGATCGGCTCTTGTTGGAGTAAATAGGATTTGGGATGAAACATTAAAACTGTTTAGCAGATCTTTTCAAACCATTTCAAACTTTTCTTATGTTGGTTTATAATATAACCAGACATGCTTGTAAATGGCCACACCTGCTCATTTCTCTGGGGATGGCCTGATCTCTGCCTTTTCTAACAAAGGATGGGGGAAAAAAATCAGCCTTTCTTGTTGCAAAACAGAGTGGAAAGTCAAAATCTTTCTCAAGTTTGTCCCATCTGGTCAGATTAAATCTTTGATCACCCTAGGGACCACATTTATGTTTGGTCTCTACTACTGTTTCAGAACACTGCAAAATAACACAGGTAGTGAGCAAAATGTGAATTGCTAAGCAGGGAACACCCGACATAAACAAAAATGCGTTGGCTTTGGATTTCTGTGTCTAGTCAGATTGTAGGAAGTGTTCAGCAAAGAAAAGAAAGACATAAACATTTAGATATTTTCTGCCTCGTCTCTGCATCAACTACCTTAGTACCAGTAAACTATATGTCGCTTGAAAATATTTTTTCCATGACTGTGTTACCCAAAAAGTATCAAATCACTTGTCATAAAGAAGCAGCTATTGCCTTATGATCTATGACACTGATGGACTAATGAGACAAGACACAAGAGAAACATAAGCAGCCCAAAGTCTAAAACTGGAAGGATCACAATGTCTTCACAAAGCTGTCCCCTTTAAGGAAAAAAAGCTTCCCAAATTCACAATAAGATGGGGTTGTGTGGCTGTAAAATAGAAAACATCTCTTTAAACCTAGTATGTATTTTTAAAGAAAGGCTAGCCAGCAATTTTTAATTTTTTTTTTTTTAATATAATCTATGTTGTTCTGGAAAACCTGCAATTCATTTAGTGCAGTATTTCTGGTGTGAAGAAGGTTGGCTGTAGAAAAACAAGCTACTGATAATTTAATTCCTAGTGTCACTGTGAAATTGAGAAACTCTTAGTTTACTGAATAATATATATATACTTGAAAAAAAGAACGGCTGCCTAAGCAAGTATCACCTTGTGCTACATCCAAGGCCTCTTGCTGGTTGTCTGGCTGCTCTTTTGTAGGCAAAAAGGAGCTGAACGCTCTCTGGCTCCTTAGATCTGGCCCAACAAATGCACTGCCAGTCATGCACATGGATC